AAAAACAAAGAATATTATCATTTTCCTCATGGTCACTACAAGATCACGAAAACTTAGAGGATATATTAAAATATTCGTTTCTGGAGTTACCTATAATTATATTCGTTTTTTATTTTCGACAAATAATTTTATGCTAATAATGATAATTTTTTCCAGGTTTACGTGAATCTGTCGTTGTATAGTTCATCACTCTACGAGAGTATGGATTTAGAGGAGGATTAATTGCAAACTTTACACACTGTGGGTTCTACTTATTTTTATAGTGTAGTAAATATATTTGCTTAGTATAGAATTTTTTTATAAAAATGGCTGTGGAGTGTGAACCATGCATGCTGAAGATCGTTTTCTTTTATGAAGTTTATTACACTCATGCATGTTGGATTACTTTAATTTTGGCTTCTACTGGAAAGTACAGACGTCATAACTTATGACGTCGTCAAAATGTTTGTCCAGTGTTCAGATTCACGAATTCTCGGAGATTTCCGAATTATGCTTGTTTACGCTAATCATATCCATAAATGGTTTGATCATATGACAACTCTTTGCGTGCATCGGGAGATTTCCGAATTACGTTTTCTAACGCTCATAGATCGTAACATGCGATTTAGTTCGATCATGACAGGAGGTTTAATCACTGAGTTTAATCTTGATCAACAGTGTAACAGCCTTAATAATATCTACTCGTTAGCATTGCTTATTGAGTATTTAAAATTTTGAAAAAAACTTGAGCGAAAGAAAGGTAGTATATCAATCGCTGTCAATGACATAAACGCGACAAGCATGTGAGTCATTTGTGACTGCATATGAGTCATTTGTCAAGACAAAATCCGGCAATGTGAAATTCAACTTCCTACAGACATGCATACGCAGGTCGTGTATGAATACAACCTCACTCCGCAAAAATGTTTGTAATGTTATTATCAGTATATTTAGTTAATCGATATTGTGTGATGAAAATGTGTTGGTGAATGTTAGTGTGTTTTCGGACCGAGAACAGTAGCCTGCGCGCATGCAATATCGGTGTCATGAGACTGTTTTTTTACTAATTAGATTGCATTGTAGTAGAATGTGATTGTGTTGCATTGAAGTGAGATCGAATGTAACGTATAGTTGTTATTTTTTTTAAATAAATTTTGTAAAACAAAACGTGTATCACTGTTGTGTCAAACCAGCCGTATGTGCAGTTCTTTTCGTTGAAGGCAACTTTGGTTTGTGTCGCAGTTTTTGTCATCTACTTCCTCATGTCCCAAATACATTTTTGTACATATTTTATGTGCATGGGTGTTACTGTCGTTCTAATTGAAGTGTTGCTCAAATATTGATTCAATACATTACCTCGGGCTGACCAATTCATTTGATCAAGTTCCTCGAGATATTCATAC